TGCTAATTGAGTATTACCTATTTAAAATATTTTATGGTTCCATTTAAGTAAGTAAGTAACATTTATATTAGCTGAAACTGTCATTTTGTTTAGACATACTTGTGCTCAATATTTCTTGTAAGCCATAATGACATCACCGGTTCTCAGCATTTACTGAAAAACAACAGGAAATAAACACAAAATGGCATCAACAATTTATTTTAATTTATTGATACCTGTATAGGTTTGATTAGCTCATTTGCCTGGACGGCTGGTTTGCAATGTAGAATGATGTGGGTTCAATTTCTGCACGAACTGGGGTTACCACAAAGAACTCTCCTTTTCAACTTTGCCCCTTGCCTGAGATGTGGTGACCCTCAGATTAAATCACCACCAGTCATTTCTCTCTAATGACAGCACTGCCTATGGTCCAGTAGGACTATGGCAACTGCCTTTTAGCTGCATTGTTCTTATCATACTGCCTTTTCATCTCTGAAACTGTGAATTATATCTGGTCCACATTGATAGAACTTCTCTATTTGTTGTACTAAAGTAGAGGGGTGGAATTATTTCAAAAATAATTAAATGTCACCCTAAAACATAGTGCGGAAGCTTATGGGCCCTGAACAATGTGGGCTATGGCAAGAAATCTGATAGAATCGCAGGACAAGTCCAGTGATGCCTTTTTTGACACCAAAGGCCAACTCATTGAATTTTTAACTAAGCTAAGGACATCAGGATTCTTGTTGGAAAGCGATGAGTTACCACTTAAATAGAATTATTGCGTTTTAATGATCTTATTAACTGAAAATCTCACCTCATTAATATGCAGCTTTCTATCCTACCATCTGCTGTGAGCAAAACAGTCATAGGCAATTTGTGACATGGAATTCAGAGGGGTTACCTGGCAATTCCAGCTTGCTGCATGTTCCAAAGGACCTCCATGTGAGACATCAGGCACCAAATCTCACATTACACTCCATGGGCACTAGCCATATGTACCCCATGTCCACATACATTGGCACCTGATATGTCCCAGTCTCTAAGAACCCTCGTGGCAAATCTCCGATTCTGTTTGACTACGCTTCTGTACTTCAAAGCTGAATGTTGGGGCGCTCTGGCAACTATCATTGGAATGCAGTTGCAAGTATATTTTGCGCTTAGGGACATGCTGCCAGCTCATGGACTGCCATCTTGGACTGTACATTTGCTGTTTTAGTGTTCACGCATTTTTGAGCCTACCTGGATGCTCACAGCATCTCTGGCTTGTCTTTTTATAATTTGCCTCCTGAGCCAGAGATATTAAAATTTACTGTACTATTGCTTTGCCGTTTAGTGCAGATAAAAGCTAGGAAGCTTGTCATGGTTTCAGTGGTCCTCAGTCAAATCAATAGAGGCAACCTTCAGTCAGGGGGACCTGTGCAATAAGTCAGTACAAGGCCAGGGGCTTGGACACAATCAGTCAACCACTCAGGGCTGTCAGGTTCATGATCCTCTCCTTGTAAGGGGTGAAGAACCGAATGTTGGGTGGCCCATGCCCATTTTGATTCTTATATCCTACTGTTCGCTGTTTTCCTTTTTGGACTAAGAAAGGGGTAGGTATTAAGGAAGTTGAAAGTACGTGGCACAGCTGTACTGTTGGTGAAATTGTGTTAAAGGTTAGGAGGTGTCCCAACTGAGTGACTAGACAATGCAAAGGGCATGTAGATTGATTAGTGTGGCAGGTTGGAGTGGTTGACAGTGAATGACGGAAGATATTGCAGGCAATACTGATAGTGGTAGAACATGACCTTTGGTGGGAGGTAAGTACTGTAGCAGAGACAGAATGAATGTGAGGTATCAGAGAGAAGATGATAGGACTGATAGTGGTGGAGTCGTGAAGGTCAATGTCCTTCTTCCAACATTATTGTGCACTCTTCCAGATGGCTGAGACCACACTGACCCAGGTTGAAACCTTAGATCAGGCTAGTATTATGTTCTGGCACAAAAACAGAAATTGCTGGAAAACCTGAGCAGGTCCAGCAACATCTGTGAAGAAAAAAATCAGAGTTAACGTTTCGGGTCTGGTGACCCTTCCTCAGAACACATGTTACAGAACATGGACCTACTGACCTTTCTCTAGCACTTCTGTTTTTGTTCCTGATTTACAGCATCCGCAGTTCTTTTGGGTTTTATTTAGTATGTTCTGGTGTTGTGGACTCCTGTGGCTTTCCTGGGAAAAGAAAATGCCCGTTTTACATACCACCATCTCAATTAGGACCTCCAGGTCACTGTTCACAAAACTGGACACCAAGTTTCCCTTGTCTGCGATGTCTGGAGCAAAGGTCAGGAAACATATAGAGCAGCTCTGGACTGACTTTGCTTGTCCAGGTTTACTTTGGTCATACAGTATAGTGGGTGCACCAGGAATGCTGTCTAGAATGGTGCTAGAATTGGATATGAAGACTGCTATAGAAATGGGGTTGGTAGTTAACGAGATGAATTTGGGTACCTGCAGTGTGAAAGCTCAATAGGTCCCATAAAGAGAAACCTTCCATGACACTTGACAAAATTAACACAGCCAAAGGGACTTGGTTCCCTTCTGATTCAAGTCTCTACTAAATCTGCTTTCACAGCCAGATGTCTTCTCACAGCAATTATCTGTTGCTATCATCTTATTCCACATAGATTTCATTGGAATGTAACTTTTTCTTTTTCAAATCCACTTAGCTGAACATGTTCTGACATTGAAAAACTCCTCCTCTAACTCCATTCACTTCCTTCAAATAAAAGGTTTTGCTATAGGTAATTGCCATTCTCACTAAGACTGATAATATGTAAAAGAGATATGAATTTCTCAATGACCAACTCAAAGATTGTATGACAAGAAGTTGAAAACTTTACCACAACAAATAAATCAACATCAACTAAACTTTGCTTGTTCAGGCAACTAATAGTCTACAGAGAAGTGGTCTGTGGAGTGGTGACCAGTTTTCTGCCTGCCAACAACAATGGTTTGGCTTCCAGTTAACTCATTAGTTGCTGTAATCTGTGGCTCTTAACCAATAGGTCAGGGATGGTATAAGTGTGAGTAAGTTGTCCTGTGCTGCCTGCAAGCAGGTGAAAATACTTGGAGAAGGAAGATAAAGGAGGTCCTGACAAGTCAAAAGAGTCCCAAGATCCCCAGGCTTTCCATTTTCTGTGTCTGCCTCTAGATTTTTTTAAAAATCATGACACACCTCTGAAGCAGATGGGATTTCAGCCCAGGTCTATCTGGCCAAGAGGTAGGGACACTACTACTGCACTACAAGAGTCTTAACTATGTCTGTCTGTATTTGTGTATAATCTCTTCTACAATGGAGGGGCTCCCATATCAACTGAGTGACTGATTTCTGGAATACTTCTGTTTAGTCCCCAAATATGACCCCAAGCTTCAGTTGCCATCTTAATTCTGCATGTTTCTCCTGCTCTAACCTTTCTGTCTTTGGCCTGCTGAGTTTCCAAATAAGCTCAATGTAAACTTAAGGAACAGCTTTCAATCTTTTGAAGTTTAACTTCTTCCCGAATTTTGTTTGCTTTTTTCTTCTGTTGGCTTTATTTTTTGTCTTCGTCTCATTTCTGTCATTAACCTTTTTTTCGTTTTGGAATGGTAATTATTCATGATTCTGTCATTAACACTACATTTTTAATCTTTCCTATTTCTGACAAAAGATTTTGACCTGAAGCATTAACTCTGTTTATCTCTCCACAGATGCTGTCAGACATGCTTTGTATTTTCAGCATTTTCAGTTTTTATTCCTTAGAGTTCAATTAGATTCAATCTCCGATTGTCTTAATCAAATTTTACTAAGAATACTCTGAAAACCAAAAAATAACCACAAAGAACTATGTGTGTTTGGAAGGCTGAAACAATAACAGAAAGTGCTGGAGAAACACAGTAGGTCTGGCAGCATCTGTTGAGAGAAAAATAGAGTTAACATTTCTAGTCCAGTTGATCCTTCATCAGAACAGTTTATCCCTCAACAGATTCAGCCAGACCAGCTGTGTTTTTCCAGCATTCTGTTTTTGATTCTGAAAATCAAACAGTTTCTAATAAATACAGAAAGACAGAGATTTGCCGAACGTGATATGATCATATTGGATGGTGGTGCAGGCTCGAAGGGTTGAACAGCCTACTCCTGTACCTATTCCCAATTTTTTTAAGTAATTAGTGAGTTATATCATAAATCAAAGGATCATTGTTAGAAATACAGGCCTTGAAAGTATGATGCCTTGAAATTGGCATAATAAGTCCAAACATATTTTAACTGTCTGTTTGCTATTTGTACAAATTAACTCTTAGGCCAGATTTTGCATGACTTAGTGCAACCCTGCAGTGATGAAAATGCCAGAAGTTCAGAATTCAAAGTCCAGCCCCTTGATTTTGGAGCTGCAATCATCCAGTTGGCATAGAGTGATCCAGATGGGCATGAAAAGTAATGGGGTGACAGCAGGATGGATGTTTTATGTTTCAATCTTTATTTTTAAACTTTGAAAGCAGTCAGTGCCAGAGTCCACCAGGTAGGTTCCACCCAGCCCTCCATGGGGACCACCAGCATCCCTGCTCTTTCCAAGTTGCCTGGCTGATTTTCAATCCAGCCCATCTGTCTAGACTGAAATTGGGAAGTACGGGCATTTATTTTTAAAGGATGAGTTCACAGTGCCAGGATTTCTCCTGCCTCTGTGTATCCTACATGAGAAAAAAAAATAAAGACCTTAGGTTTAAAACAGTGAAGCAAAGAACTGCATACGAATTTGTCCATACAGTAACACCCACAGAGGGGATTTTTTTTAGGGCTGCAAGTCAATGTTGAATGGCTGAACCACATTCAGAGAAGTCCTCTGCACATTGTTTCTGGGAAACAATTCATATTGAATGGTCTCATCATTACTCATTATTCAAACAAAAAGATTAATCAAATCAAAAGAAATGGATGGGGAAAGATCAACCATGTTCAAGTTAATCACTTGCTTTGTGCAAATTTGATGCTATTGTCCTGCAGTACGACTAAATTTCAGAAGCGCCTCATTGGCTATAAAGTACGTTGGGACACCCTGAATTTGTGATTTCTCTTATAATATAAGGTACTTACATAGAAACATAGGAAATAGGTGCAGGAGTAGGCCGTTCAGGCCTTCGAGCCTGCACCACCATTCAATATGATCAAGGCTGATCATGCAATCTCAGTATCCCAATCCCACTTTCTCTTCCTACCCCTTGATCCCTTTAGCCACAAGGGCCACGTCTAGCTCCGTCTTGAATATATCTAATGAACTGGTCCCAACAACCTCCTGTAGGAGAGAATTCTACAGATTCACAACTGAGTGAAGAAATTCTTCCTCATCTCAGTCCTGAATGGCTTACCCTTTATTACTAGACTGTGACCCATAGTTCTGGACTTCCTCAACATCAAGAACATTCTTCCCACATCTAGACTGTCCAGTCCCATCAGGATTTTATTTGTTTCTATGAGATACCCCCTCAATTTTTTAAATTCCAGCGAGTACAAGCTCAGTCGATCCAGTCTTTCCTCATATGTCAGTCTTGGCATCCCAGGAATTAGCTTGGTGAACCTTCGCTGGACTCCGTCAATACCAAGAATGCCCTTCCTCAGACTAGGAGAACAAAACTACACAAAATATTCAAGGTGTGGCCTCACCAAGGCCTTGTATGACTGCGGCAAGACATCCTTACTCCGATACTCAAATCCTCTCACAATGAAGGTCAGCATGCCATTAGATTTCCTCATCACCTGCTGCACCTGCATGCCAACCTTTAGCGACTGAACCACCATGACACCGAGGTCTTGTTGTACCTCACCTTTTCTTAAACTGCCACCATTCAGATAATAATCTGCCTTCCTGTTTTTATAACCAAAGTGGATAACCTTACACTTATCCACATTATATTGCATTTGTGAAGTATTTGCCCACTCAGCCAGTCTGTCCAAGTCACCCTGCGGCCTCTTAGCATACTCCTCACAACATGTTGCCACCCAGCTTAGTGTCATCTGCAGATTTGGAGATATTGTGTCCAATTCCTTTGTCCAAATCATTAATGTATATTGTGAATAGCTGAGGTCCCAGCATTCTGCACTGCGGCACCTCACTTGTCACTGCCTGTGTCTCTGAAAAGGACCCGTTTATTCCAGCTCTCTGCTTCCTGTCTGCCATTCATTTCTCTCTCCATGTCAATGCATTACTTTTGATACCATGAGCTTTAATTTTCCTTACTGGTCTCTTGTGTGGAACCTCGTCAAAAATTTTTTGAAAGTCCAGATACCCAATATCTACTGATTCACCCTTGTCCACTCTACTTGTCACATCCTCAAAAAATTTCAGAAGATTTGTCAAGCATGATTTCCCTTTAGTGAATCCATGCTGACTAGAATCAATTCTGTTGCTGCTTTCCAAATGCTCAGTTATTACACCCTTAATAACTGACCTCAACATTTTCCCCACCGATGTCAGGCTAACCAGCCTATAATTCCCCATTTTCTCTCTCCCTCCTTTATTTAAAGAATTGGGTTACGTTAGCTATCCTCCAGTCCATTGGAACTCTTCTAAAGTCTACAGAATGCTGGATAATGATCACCAATACATCTGCTCTTTCTAGGGCCACTTCCTTAAATACTCAGGATGCAGAATGTCAGGCCCTGCGGACTTATTGGGTTTTAATCCCATCAATTTCCCCAATACCATTTCTTGACTAATAAGGATTTCCTTCAGTTCCCCCTTCATGCTTTATGCTCTATCCCCTAGCATTTCCTGAAGGTTATTTGTGTCCTCCCCAGTTTAGACAGATCCAAAGTATTTGTTTAGCTGGTCTGCCATCTCTTTGTTGTCCATTATAAATTCACCTGATTCTAGTCTTTTTCTCTTCACATATCTATAGAAGCTTTTGCTGTCAGAGTCTCCAAGGTAGAACCATATTAGCTTACAGCACAGGACAGCACTTCATTCATTTGCATTTTTGCCAACTGACTGCCAACTCTTGCCCTGTAATCATCTGCTCTGCTTCAGTATCCCTAAGGATGCAAAGTTCTCTATCTTGCCTGAAGCCCAAGGCAAAATATTCTTTGGTGCAGTGGCATAGAAACAGGACTCAGCTCGGAAGCGTCTTAAACCAGTTTTGCCATTCAGTAAGATCCTGGCAGAACCTGATGAATCAACAAAACATTGTTATGCTTTAATGTCCTGTTTGTACTTGGGTATCTTAAAGCTGTTCCACAGTATAAATATATTTGCCACAGAAACAAAATAATATGAGATGATGAAATACGTTGTTTAAGTAAATTGATGCATCTTCTTCTAAAGCTGATTTATTGATGGAAACCTTTTTGGAAAACATTGCATCAAGTAAATTAAGAAGTATATTGCTGCAAAATTATTTTTTCAACAAAATTGGAAATTTTGATTACTCAGTGCCATTTCATGTACCTTTTGTGATGCATTGAGATGTCAGCTGCCAACTCCATTGAGACCATTTTGTCCTTTTATACAGGGGAAATTTATTGAGACAATAAAATACAATGGACATTATTTCGGGCTCAGCAGAGATGCGTTAGAAGCTGTTGCCAGAGATGGTTTAGCCTGCTGTATTCATATGGAACTTGAGGTAAGTATGAAAGTTATATTTTAATGGCTTTTTTGGCTGCTTTGTGAACGATAGACTCTCGTAGTGATGCATACTAAATCCCATCAGGAGGAATACAAGGGTACGTATTCTGCATAGTAAACAGTGCTTTATTATTACAAGCATTTTATACAGTGACAAACAAGAAAGAAAATCTTTGTATTTACCACCTTTCATAGAATTCTGCTGTAGTGCAAGCTGATATCTGACATAAAGCTACCTAACAGCTGACAGAGACTGAAGTTTAATTTAACAAGTGAAGATAGATTAAGCAGCCCACTAATTCACATGATGGATTAAAAGTATAAAAATCTGAGACATGTGTTTTGGCAGGGATATACCACTGTGTCACAAGAGCCCTTACATTTTATTTATGGATATTTTTAATCAACCTGTTCAGAGATGTTATGCCACACACTTTGGAGCAGGTGGGACTTCAACCTGGGCCTCCTGGCTCAGAAGTAGGGACACTATCACTGTACCATGATAGCCCGTGTGCTTTATTTATAGATATTTATTAATCAATCTGTTCAGATGTGTTATGACACACCTCTGAAGCAAGTGGGACTTGAACTTTGGTTTCCTGGCCCGGGGGAGGAACTGCACCACAACAGCCTCCATGAAGATGTCTTCAATCAGCCATAGCCCCCAGACCAAAATATGGTTATCTACTCAACTCCATCACTCCTCATTTACTCAATCCCACCCTAAGCCTGTCCATCTATTACTTAGTGACAACTCATATCTCTATCCTTTTCCTACAGTGCCTGGTATCAATCAGGGCCATACCTCAGGAGGCATTCTGACAGAAAGTAAAGTTATGTGGCTATTAAGAATGTCACCATTGACGTAATTGACATATTGACACAATACATTGAAATTTCTTCAATTAATCCCTTATATAAACAAACATTTCCATTCTATAAGCAGTTGGAACTGTCCTTCACAATGCTCACATGATAGACACCCCTTGTAAAAATTATAGTTTGAAAAATTGGTCATGTAGCACAAAAATTCCCTCCTTACCAGGGTGTACATTAACCAAGTGAATTGCAATGTTTTAAGAATGTAGCTTTCTGTTGCTTTCCAGGATTTCTTTCTTTCTTACCTGTTTTAAAAGAAATCACCACGGCTACACAAATACTTACAAGTTAGTCACTGAACCACTTCAGATGCACAGAAAATTCATATACTATTAGTTCAAATTAAATTATACAAACTAATACAAAAATAAATGGTATTGAAAATATGTATAAATTACATACCTTACATCACACTTTGGTGCCCAGCCACTCCTTCCTCTGATTGTCTTGCCTGCCTGGCCAAGAAGGGTAGGCCTGCCCGTGAGCCGAAACATCACAGCAGACAAGGAACCTTTAAGGTTAAAGGCACTGGGGTTGTCTATCCAAATATTCCCAGCCAACAAGGCCAATTTTAGAGCAGGCCCCGTTAATTCTAGCTGCAGAAGTCAGGACTGTACTCAGAGGTGCTGGAAGGGGGAAGAAGAAAAAAAGATTACTGTAAGGGAAAAAAAGAATGGGAAAAAATAAACTTCATTTTTGCAAATATATTCCTGATTCAGACCCTTAAAATGTCTGCAATAGCATCATTTTTGCTGTCAGATCTGATTATCTGGTCAGAGATGAGCAACTTTTCAGACATCCCAAAAAGTGCCACCTCTGATAGGTTAGGTGCTGCCCTTCAGGATTATTCAAATTTCAGGACAGCTCTTCAGTTCATATGCAGTCTGACCATTGAAGGTTACCAATAATGGAAGAGTCAAAAAGAGATCCTTCAGAATTCCTCCTGGCCTGCCAACTTTCTTGCAAGACTTCACTGCATGACTACCAAACCATGTGTCATACAAAGAAAGTTCATCCACTCACTGACTGCTGCTTCTTCTCTAATGGTCAGTCGGCTATTTAATGTGTAGACTTAAAAGTGGGATCACCCAAAGATATCAAGCATAGAATTAGGTGTGATGGCAAAACATTTATTCAGCACTACAGAAGATCAAAGTCTGCAAAAATAACAAAGTTCACATTTTCTTTGCACTAAGCAAAGGCTGCTTCCAGGATTAATTAGTGAATCTTCAGCAATTAATCAAGGTCAAAACCAAGCTTATTCTTTCTGAAAACAATTTTCAATTAGTTTCTTTCTGCTCACCAATATGTTGCTCTGACATGGTGTTTTGGAGGGTCCTTCTCAAATTTCATGAACCTCATTCTTGTTTCAATCCTCAGAAATTGTTATTGAGTCCTGTTTCTTCTGCATCCAGGACATCCTTCCCCTGTCATCCCCAACTGTAAAGGGCACTGCATGCCACAATGATGCAGTGCACATTTTCTGTGCTGTTTCCGAAACCTCGCCAGAGTGGTGCAAGCGTTGAAACCTTGTATATAGAAGACCTTTGGTGTGTCCCACTCTGGCTCTGGTGGAAGCATGAGCAGTGTTCCAATCTTGTTCTCCATCAGTCTGCCAGTTTCATGAAGGTATTATGAGTCACTATGCATTGTTGCCTTGATTTATTTCCCCTTCCACATTTTTTGTTAAAAATGCATCCACAGGAGAGCTGAGTGATGACTAGATTAGGAAAACAACATTGTTGTAATTTGTTTCCAATTCCATCATTAAATAGGGAGTACGCAGCTTGAAGAAGACTTACTTTGAGCCTCGATACATTCTGCTGATTCCAATGAGAAAAGAAAAGCACAAGAAAAGGTTACTACTAAGAGGGCTGTACGACCACTCACAAATTGATTTTGCTGTATCCAGAGTTGACACCTATATCAGTATGAATCAGGATAACCCAGGATATTTTGATGCTGTTATTAACAGCGGTAAGGAACTTAGTCTTCATTACCTGATTATTGGAAAGATTCATTCACAAAAAGTATTTGCACCAAAGTAGTTCTTTCAAACTAAAGCAAAGAACTGCGGGATGCTGGAGATCTGAAACACAAATAGAAATTGCTGGCAAAACCTGGCACATCTGGCAACATCTGTGGGGTGAAATCAGAGTTAACATTTTGAGTTGGGTGACCTTTCAGAGTTTCGCCAGCAATCTCTGTTTTTGTTTTAGTTCTTTCAAAGTCCTGATTAGCACTTTATCTGTTGGATTTGTCTCACTACTATCACTTCAGCGTATATCAGGCATCACTGAAACACAAGCGGTCTCAGAGTTAAAATGTACTATAATGAAATCTTTTACTTTTCATTTTCTCAAAATATAATTTATTTTATTTAGTTGTTTCCCATCTGTTCCTCAGCAGGGTCTCCATTTGACTGAGAGATTTTTGTTCCCCAGGCCTCTGCTGATAAGCAACTAAAACTAGATTGCAGAACTCCACATTTTCTCAAGAGTATTAAATTATAAATTTTACATTATGGAGGTATAACTGAATTAAGTTTTAATGTTTTTTTTAAATTCACAGATTGTATTTTTTAATTATAGATACAATCTATTAATTATTTACTGAATGAGAGGGTGATACCAGGGCCCTACCTATAACTATTGCCTGGGATGATTATCTCCTTTGAAAGTAGGAAGTTATTCCTATGAGTTAGTCATTCTGGCCCCATCTTTTGAGAAGACATAAGTACAAAATCAGAAAGCTTCAATCAAGACTAAAGAATTTCTTTAGTGTGTGTAATGATTTGAGGAACAAGTTCATTCAATTCAATCTTCTAACTTTGGATGTTTGTTAAATATCTACCTACATCTGAAAAGGATTGAAGGTATAGCAACAAACATAGATTTTGATGATGAATATTCTTGTAACAATATGACTCAGATGGTGCTGGACTCTGCAAAGGCCTTTCATGGTATGCAATAGATCAGAGTTTTAATGTTCGATGACAAAAGTTCTCTTCACTCTGATTTCTTAACTGACACTTGTCTCAGAACTCAATCTGATAATTTTAACTTATCTTTTCTTCTTCAAATTTCTGTCATTCCAACAAATTAAGAATTTATCCAGTTTACCCTGTTCAAATTGAGCCAACATTCATTGCACTGAGTGGCAACTTGTCCCAGTTCTCTGCATGGGATAGTTTTTCCTTATATTGAGTTTGTTTCGTGGCTTCTTTAACCAATAACCATTTGGGTCATGTATCTGTGGAATTCTCTATCCCACAAACAGTGTAGGTTGAGACATTGAGTAAATTTAAGAAGGAAATAGAGAGGTTTTTAATTAGCATTGGGTTCAATGATTTATGGAGAGCAGGCAGGAAAGTGGAGTTGAATTCGAGATGAGATCAGCCAAGATCATGTTGAATAGAGAAGCAGGCTCGAAGTGAATTTGCCTATTCTTGCTCCTACTTGTTATGTTATTATTTTCTAATTATGACTTCTAATTCTGATATATTGCCTTTTCATAAATATATCTTTCTTTCCACAGCAACAGTTTTCCTCATTCCTGTGCTGTGTGTGCTATTTAAACCGGGGGTTAAAATTTTGGGTTAGACAGAGTACAGGCATTTGCTTTCCTTGTCAGAGTTTTATTCTAACTCATACACCATCAATTTCAGTAACACTATTTACTTGTTCTCCATGTATAAACACCAAACAAGTTCTCACCTAATAACTTTCAACTAACATAGAACTAACATCATCTGTTCCCTGGTTCCATTTGACCTTGGACATTGCTGCCAAACCATATTAGATGATAATACAGCAATCATTTTTATTTACTGTTGAGTTCCTCATCATAATGCAATGATGTCATTCCAAATTATGGCATAGATATTGTTGCAAAGTTGGGTAGAGTATTTGATATTTGTAAAATGATAGAGGGGAAGTGTGTGTGGTCCATTTAAAAGATGATGGGTTTTTAGGCTTGGAGATCAAAAAAAAGGTCTGCAGGCAGCATTAGATGCATAGAAAGTTCTTGAAATTGAAACATTGTATCAAAAGACTACACTGTTAGCAGGCAAAGCAGGATTTTACCAAGACAACAGGCTTTTAAATTAAGCCAATTCATTTAAACCAGGGCCTAGATACCAAAAACTGAATTAAATTTTAATCTGATGGTTTTGACAACCTAAGTCCAATCCTATTCTAAGAAATTAATAGGCCATGAAGGGTATAAAAGAAGAGGGCATTTGAAAATCAGTGTGAGAGTCAACTGTTATCTGCTGAGAAAACAGCTCTCAACTATAAAAGAAAGTTTTACTGGCTTTCACAGAGTTCTCTAAGCTCTCAGAAAACCATCATCTAAACTAAAGGTACAGTGGCACTCCTGGCTAATATTCCTGAAACAAAAATTCAACAGAGAACGGATTGAGGATTGACTGAGGATCAGCAGAGAGGGTGCGAAGCATTCTGGAAGACTTACCCTGGCTGTAATTTTCAGAGACTAAGTTTTAATTTATTTTTCTTATTACTTTGGTTTATATAAGTGTGATTTGTATTTATTGGAACAGCATATCATTAGAATTTTGTTTTTTCTGAAATAGTTAGTAGTTAAGGCGGAATTGTTTGGTTGTTAGTTCTGTTAATTTGTTCACTGTTTGATTTAGATAATTAAATTGTTACTTGTTGATTACATAGTGAGTGAAAGGATTTTATTTTATTCAACTACTCCTTTATAACAGATTGAGGGGTGAGAGGCAGGTTACACCACTTTTCACACTTCTTTTAACAGATTATGAGGCAAAGTGAGCTTTTCTGGGTGTTTTTATTTTAGTTATCAGAGGGGGAGATCGACCTCTCCTTTGTAACAATATTAAAATATGCACATTATTTATTTCAAACAATAGTGTGTCATTTTTAAAGAAGAAGTAAAAATATACATATAACTGTGAGGAATATAACTGGATAAACAGCTGAACCCAATCACTTATGTCAAATTTTATAGTCTAAAATTCTGCTGGAGACCTCAACGAGTTAAACTGCATTTATACTACTTTTTCTGCTGGTTTTATATGCAGATGACCTTATGCAGGCATATCTGCAGCTGAGCCAGCTGCTCCATGAGTACCTGAGCCTCAATGATCAAACAGGCAATGAAAAAGACAAAGCTATGAATAGAGACAAATGGCAGGCAACTGGTGAGTGTGTGCTGGCATGTCAGAATGCGATAAATAGCTGGGTTTTGCAGTGATGAATTACTAATGTTGCACTTCTGTTGTCACAATTTTCAATCATAGAATCCCTACAGTGTGGAAGCAGGCCCTTTGGCCCACTGAGTCCACGCTGACCCTTGAACAGCATCCCACCCAGACCCACCCACCTATCCTATGTCGTAACCCTGCATTTAGCATGGTTAATCTACCTAAGCTACACATCCCTGGACATGATGGACAATTTAGCATGGTTAATCCAGCTAACCTGCACACCTTTGGACAATGAGAGGAAACCGGAGCACACAGAGGAAACCCACACAGAAATGGGGAAAATGTGCAAGCTCTGCACAATCGCCTGAGGGTAGAATCTCAATTATGCTTCCTCCAATAGATGTTTCTAACATTCGATGCATGGGTAACTCTTGCAGAACTGATATGGTTTTGCTAAAGATAGTGTCAACCACTGTACAGCCCTAAATGTTCTAGTATGTACAAAACAATGCGGGCTGCCTATCATGTAATGGTATACAAGCATTTTTGCCACAATATAGCCATTATATTTGTTCCTGTAATTGTTCTAATGTCATGAGGAAAAGCCAGTTTTGTAATTTTTTCTCCTTAACTCACAAAGATAATTAAACAGATTTTAACAACATTTAAATATCCCTAACCTCTATGATTCAACTTTAGCTTATGCCACGTCCTTTGCTCCAATAGCATAGAAATCATCACGTTTCATTCAGTATTTGCTTGAATCTGCTCCTCCTTCTCCCAGGGGCCTTGGGTCTCAAGCATAACTACTTACCCAGCTCTTCTTTGAAGACCCTACTTGCTATAGCATCAGCTAGTCATGCTGGCATTTCGTTTTTTATGAACATCAGTCTCTGGTGGAGTAATTGATTTCTTTTCATTGATTTCATTTAATCATTCCTACTTCTGTCTTCATAGAAGTTTGCAGGGAGGGGAAGAAAATATTAGCTAATAATAACAAAGATAAGTAGGAAAGCATGATTGGATACTGAAGTAAAAACACAAAACTCTGGAAATGTTCAGCCAAGTCAATCAGTACCTCTGGGCAGCATGGTGACACTGTGGTTAGCATTGCTGCCTGACAGCACCTGTCAGGGACCTGGGTTCAATTTCAGCCTCGGATGACTGTGTGTGGAGTCTATACATTTTCCCTGCGTCTATGTGGGTTTCCTCCTGGAGCTCTGGTTTCCTCCCACAGTCCAAAGATTTGTCATTTAGGTAGATTGGCCATGCTAAATTGCCTGTAGTGTCCAGGGATGTGTAGGCTAGGAGGATTAGCCATGGTAAATATGGGGTTAGGGGGATTGGGTGGGATGCTCATCAAAGGGTTGGTGCAGAATTGATGGCCTCTTTCTGCACTGTAGGAACTCTATCTTACAGACTATAAATTGTTGTAATTTCACTATTTTTTAATTTCAGGCCAGTGTTACTTCTTAAAAATTCCTTGATCTCTGGGTTTTTACTTCAATACCGTACCCATTGTGGTGATTCTCCCATGCGTTTTTGTGTGACCTCATGCTTTTAAAAATCATGCTATAGAAAATGGCGTTATAGGGAAATTGCTATACCTGTACAACAGAAAGTTTGGGTTATCCAAACAGCATCCACTATTGATCAATCATGTTACAGCCAATTTGCGTTAATGGAACATGCGTTATAGCAGAACTACCTGGACACCACATACACTGTCAGCATATTAATCTTAGTGACAACCTTCATAGAGGCTGCATGATTTCATGAATGCAAGCTGAAAACAACCAACCTTATCTGTTCATCACCACACTCAATTCCATGACCAGCAGACCATTTAAATGCTTTCCAATATCTAGTTAAGGATGATCAAGGACTTTCTCCAATTACAGTTGTCAAACAGATGCCATTTAGTCTTGGACTAGATGATTGATTTTAAAATCCAATATTTGATGTTTGTATAGACTTGTCAAAGAACACACCGACTGAAGTTAACCAGTCAAGCCAGTGTAAAATTTCATCATCCAGTGAATTAATGGATTCCTCTACAAGGAACTACTCTTCTAGAATACAGGCTAGACTGTCAGCAGAAAAAACACTCTTGGTAAGAGCAAAGTAGATATTTTATGATGCACATCCACAATTTCCTTCACAGACAAGCTACCAATTTTAGCCATCAAGGTGTGAGCTGATTTGTTTTTGTTCATTTATGACTGACCATTTCAGATGCATATCAAAACCAAACCTGGTGTTCTGAAGTGTTGGTTTGCATCTATGATACACACATGTTTTAAGAGAAAGCTATGCATTTTTATGGTGTATTTTAAGCAATAATTAAGAGATATTTCTGTCCAACATCCCAACACTTCGATAGAATGTGAACTCAGTGGTGAGATGGAATTACAACTTTAGGGCATTATTTCATGGAGGCAAAAAAAAAACTTGCCTGCTGTCTAGACTGCCAGTGAGAGTCCTATATTCTCTTTCTTGTGGGAAATCCCTCAAAGTTATCTACCCATTAAACGCTTAACTGGGCAGCAGCAAATATTCCCTGGGATCAAGGACCCTGAGACGTGGAAATCCTTCCTGCCAAGAGTTACCTTCCACCTGGGGACATGCAGCTCTCCATTGTTTGGCAGAACCACCATGGAGGATCAAGGGTGAGGACTGCAGACACTCAGGTACAGATGAGTGATAATGTGTGAAGTTCTGCAGCAGGGTAGGAATTGGCTGTCACTGCTCTGCCCATACCTCCTCTCACCTCCCCACACCAGCCCACTTCCTGATTTCAGGTCCATCTATCTGACACTTTGACTAGGGACACCCAATGCATGGGGGACAACCATCAACCCTGAAATATTTTGCTTTATGCTTTTCCTGCATGGCTAGTCCTTAGCCTATATTTGGTTAATACCTGTAGTGGTGGGATGAGGCTCTTAAATGAGCATTAATTGACCAGTTAAAGGCTTTACTTGGTGGCAAAGCAGAAAAGCTGTCCATGATTCTTGCCATCTCAGACTTATTCTGGGCAAAGATGGGAAGTTGATAGGGTTCTCACCGGGCACACCTGCCTGATTAAATGTCAGCACACCACCACTGAACACACCATGTAGGAGGACATTAAATTCTGCTCTTAAATAGGCTCTTCTGCGCTCCCTTGTCATTTAAGATACCCACTAAATGCTGATGGAAAATATGGCAGTCCTAGCTGAACCATGCTAATAATGGATTCAGGCATGGGCTAGATTTTTTTTTTTACCAGGTGCAGATTCTGGGCAGCCAAGATGAAGAGTAACTAGCGGGGCCACAAATAGCTATTAAGAGAGTGCCTCAGGATAGGCTCATCAGAGATACTTTCAGTAATGTCTGATATAGCTATGCAACATCTGTAATAACCAGGTCGCACTATATAATTTAAACTTACAATCATTCACAACAAACCACTCATCATGACAAGCAGAATTCGCCTCAGGGAAACATTCCTTCTAGTTTCAGTGCAATTTTTAAAGTTTCCAACAAAAGTCATAAGCAAAATCAATACATAACGATCAATTTTTTAAAAAAAATTATTATATCTGTAACTTAATAACTCACTGAACAGTCACTTTCCTCATGTACCGTCTTGTTTTCCTGTATCCTATTGGAGATATGTTGGCACTGTCTTGTATACAGACTCAGCTTAACAGCAGTCCAGAATATAAATCCTGCAGCTGAGCCCTCTGAACTACTTGACCCACGGCCCTCTAGGTATTTTCTCAACCTCTCCATGTGCATCTCATCAACTGGTGATGAGTCTCTTTGTCATAGGGTAGGCAGTCTTGTGGCCAAAAGTCTAACCTAACTGGCTCTATAATGGTTAGATCATAGAATTTGGAATTTCAGGGCCTTTGTTTATTCAATTGGAAAGTTTCCTCTGCATTCTGAGCCTGAGCTGTTTTCTGTCATAAAATTGCAAGCTGAGGCCCCAATATTGAGTTTGAAATAAAATACTCTTTATGCATATTCAGATGTCGCTTGTTAGAGCAAAACTTGAGTGTTGCTATAAAAAGAGCCATGATGTCAAAACTTTTCTTCTTGCACTCATTACAACAGATTTACAAGACTACCAAATTTATTTTTTTGTTGCTGCTGCTATGCAGTAGCAACATAAGTGGTATTCTTCACTAACAGAATGCTGCTATCAAAAGAAACAGATTCTGCCTGCCACACAAATGGGTAATGTGGTATTTGAATTTCAGTGTCAATGTGTTGCCGGGTATGACGAATTGTATCAAACACGTGTTCCTTTGGTTGTTCATAGCAGACAGAGTATGTACTGTATTTGGCCATCCAACCTATTTTTTCTTGCTTTGCTTCTGTGGGCAATCCTGAGTCATTTTTTTTGTATGTTAAATGTGTTTTATAAGTTGTTGTTGTTTACTTGGTTGTGATGGTGTTACTATGCTCCACAGTACATTAAAATCTAATCAACATAGTTAAAATAGTATGATTACTAGCATGGCCTGGATACATGATTAGTAAATATCCTGCTGCTGTTAAACTTCCTAATGATGTTGCAGACAATGACTTTTCACAGTTAGGTCTCCTGTTTATATTTTTCATTAACATCAAGGTTTAATTCAACATAATAGATTTGGAGCATCATTAAATCTCTTGTAAGCTCTGCAAGCCCTCTTCCTACTGACTTTTGTACCTCATTTGCATTGACTTCATCTTTTCAACTGTAATAATAACAATAAATTTGTACAGTCCATTCAAAAACAATAACATATTTATATAGAATCTTTGACATGATGAGCATTCCAAGGCATTTCACAGCAGTCTTATAACACAAAGTGTGACACCGAACCACAGAAGAAGGTGTTAGGTCAGTGACAAAAGCTTGATCAAAGAAGTAAGTTTTAAGGAACATATCAAAGCCAGAAAGTGAAATAAAGAGGCAAAGAGGTGTAGGGAGGGAATTCCAGAGCATAATGCCTTGGGAGCTGAACCAGAGGAGCCTGGTTGAATAATATATCCATAAACACTGAAAGCAGCAGGACACAGTTAATAAAGTACACAGCATCCTAACGTTTGTAAATACAGTATAGAGTGCAAGGAAGTTTTGTTAAACATGTACAGAATGCTAGTTCAGTCTTACTGTGAGTCCAATTCAGGGCACAATATAGGAAATGTGAAGGTATTAGAGACAGTGCAAGAGAGATTCACAAAAATGATTCAAGGGGCAAGGAATTTCAATTGTGAACATAGATTGGACTGTGATTGGGACTGTTCTCCCTGGAGAGAAGAAAATGGGTATTTGATAGAGGTATTCAAAATAATTAGAATTCTGTAGTGTGGAAGGGAACAGCTCCCAAGGTAGTTCAAGAACTAGAGGGTGCAGATTAAATCCAAAGACAAGCAATGGAGACAGAACAAAAATCATTTTCATGCAGGAACTGTTTATGATTTGGAACGCACTGTCTGACAGTGTGGTGGAAACTTGGTCTCCTCCTCACCAATCACAGATGCATCTGCCCATGAGAGTATCGGTAAAACATATTCCTTGTGGAGATGAAGTCAGAAACCACATGATACCAAGCTACAGTCCAACAGGTTTATTTAAAGTCATAAGCTTTTGGAGCACTGCTCCTTTGTCAGGTGAAGTCCAAACTTGTGGAGATGAAGTATGTGTTCACATTGAGAATCCCCTCACCATGCTTTGTGGCACTATTGCAGTGCTAAATGGGATGGGCTTCGAACAGATCTAGCAACTCAAAACTGGGTATTCATGAAGTGCTCTGGGGCATCAGTAGCAGTAGAATTGTACTCCAATACAATCTGTAATCTCGTGGCATGGCATATCTACTACTTTACCATTATCATCAAGCCAGAGGATCAATCCTAGTTCCATGAAGAAGGCATGCCAGGAGCAGCACCAGGAGTACCTAAAACTGAGGTGTCAACCTGGTGAAGCTACAAAACAGGACTACATGTATGCCAAACAGCATAAGCAATAAGTGATAGAAACAGCAAAGCGATTCCACAAATAATGGATAAGATCTAACCTCTGCAGTCCTGCCACATCTAGTTGTGAGTGATGGTGGACAGTTGAACAACTCATTGCAGGAGAAGATCCCACAAATATCCCCACTCTCAATAATGTGGGATCCCAGCATGTTAGTGCAAAAAGTTAGTTAAAAGAATTTGCAACAATATTCAGCCAGAAGTGCTGAGTAGATGATCCATTTCAGCCTCCTCCAGAGGTCCTCAGCATCACAGTCAATTTTATTCACTTCAAGTGATATCGCAAAACATGATGGAGGCACTGCTTGCTGCAAAGGCAATGGGCCTTAACAACATCTGGCAATTGTCCTGAAGATTTATGCCCCAGAGCTTACCCATGTTCCTAGCAAAACTATTCCAGTACAGTTGCAACACAGGCATCGACCTGACAATGTGGAAAATTACCCAGGTATTTCCTGTAAACGAAAAGCAGGACAGATCCAACCTAACCAATTACCACCCCATTTGTCCATCTCAATCATCAGCAAAGCAATGGAAAATATCACTGACAGTGCAATTAAGCAGTACCTGCTTAGCAGTAACTAGTTCACTGACTCTCAGTTTGGGTTCCACCAGGCCACAGTTCTTGACCTCATAATAGGCTTAATTCAAACATGGACAGAAGATCAAAATTCCAGAAATGTGGTAAAAGTGACTGCCCTTGATATCAAGGCTGCATTTGGATGTGTGTGACATTGAGAAGCCCTAGCAAAACTGGAATCAATGTTAATGAGAGGGAAACTGTCTTCTGGTTAGAGTCATGCCAGGCACATAGGAAGGTGGTTATGGTAGTTGAAGGTTTGTCATCACAGCTCCAGGACATCTCTGCAGGAGTTCCTCAGGGTAGTGTCCTCGGCTTAGCCATCTTCAACTGCTTCATGAATGACCTCTTTCTATCGTATGATCAGAAGTGGGGATGTTCAGAGGTGATTTGCACAATGTTCAGTGCCATTCATGACTCCTCAGACACTGAAGCAGTCTATGTCCAAATACAGCAAAAGTTGGACAATATCCGGTTTGGACTGACAAGTGGAAAGTTACTTCTGCACCACACAAGAGCCAGAAAATTATCAACTCAAAAATGAGAAAGTCTAACCATTGCCCCTTGATATTTAATGGCAAGACCAAGACTGAATTCCCCACTATTAACATCTTGGAGGTTACATTTGACTGGAAACTGAACTGGCGTAGCCATATCAATACAGTGGTTACCGGAGCAGGCCAGAGACTAGAAATCCTGCAGCAAGTAACTCATCTACTGACTCCCCAAAGCCTGTCTCAAATAATTCCATGAAGGCTCCACATGTACATAGTACATGACACCGACCAAGCTAACTCAGAGCTGGCTCCTAAAGTGAACAGAACCCCTGACGCTCTTGTTTATATCTGTCAGCCATGGCTCCCTGTTTGGACCAGGTTAATAGCCCCAATCAAGGAATTCATACTCTATGAGATCCACCTGACTGACCAAATTTTACTACACTGTCCAGCATCTCCAATGCACAAGTCAGGAGTGTGATGGAATACTCCCCACTTTCCTGGGTGGAGTGTAGTTTCAACAACACTCAAGAAATTTGGCACCACCCAGGATAAAGCAGCCTGTTTGATTGGCAACACGTATATATTCATTCTTTCTACCTCCACCCTCAGTAGTGACAGTGTGTTCCACCTATGAGATGAAAAAGAGCAGAACTTCACCAAGGCTCCTTGGATAATCAAAATCATGACTACTACTACCTGAAAGGTCTTGGGCAGCAAAAACTTCGGATCACCATCTCCTGCAAGTTCCCCAGCGCATGACTCATCATCCAGACTTGGAAATATATGACTGTCCTTCAGTGTCGCTGGTCCAGAATCCTGGAACTGCTTTACCTAATAGCATTGTGGGTGCACTTACACCAAATGGATCGCAGCAGTTCAAGAAGGGAGCTCACCACCATGTTTTTGAATGGGAAATACACACTGGCCCAGCCATTGATGCCCATATCCCATATAAATTAAAAAAAAAACTCCAATTAAGAAAACTTATTACAATTAAATTGTTAAAGATTATTCCAGTGGATAGAAATGCTTATTAATCTGTTGTTTATAAGCTCTAGTTTGTTTTCTTTTTTGCTTTATTTAGATACATTTCACAATGTTATCTTTGTTATTTAGGAACAATATTCTTTGGAACAACGCCAGAAGGTGGCACGGGAAGCTGTAAAGGGAAAACCTCCAGGTCCATACACCTACCTGTTCAAAAGGTGATTAGCCTTGAATTCCTCTGATTCATGAGATTCAGTTCAGTATGTTGACCAGAGTTCAGCACACCAATGTGACATTTTTCTGTTCCTAACTGAGAGTCTTAGACAAGTATTAGTTTTACCAGGCATACCCGAAGGATTGCTCATTAATACATCGATAGTTCACTACAATGACTTTGCCATCAGTGCCGTGATGCTGAATAAGGGTCACGGGGCCTGAACTACGAACTCTGCTTTCTCTTCACAGATGTTGCCAGACCTGCTGAGTTTCTCCAACCATTTCTGATTTTGATTCTGATTTCCAGCATCTGCAATTCTTTGTTTTGTTTTCATGTCATGATGCTAGTTTACCTTTTTTTTTAATGGCAACCAAGTTGTGGACTTTTTCACCTCCACCATCAATTTCCTTCTTGCTCTACTGAAGATGCTAACTCTTATTTGAGTATTGTGTATGGTACACAAGCAACTTCCTTGTAGCAACTCTCACCCTTTCCATCCTCATCTGCTTTTGTGTAAGCATAAACAGGACATGGTGGCAGACTTTTCAGACATGAATTTTTTATAGATGACCCTGACTATTAACACAAACACTGTCCCAATATGTTGCTGAAGAATACTGCTGATTCCTAGTGTTTCCACTGCCTGCTCTCCACAAGCTTTTTCAGGTTGCATGAATATTGGAGGATTACTGTTCCTGTGCATTTTATGCAGGAGATTCATAAACATTTTCACTGTAATGACATTGATACACATAGTTGGTAGATATAAAGTTCAAATTGGAGAGCAGGTGGGTACCTTTGACGTGACAGGGTTTTGAGCTTGCACTTTCCCCAGGAAATAATTAAAGATGGCACAGGCCAAAACACATCTTAAGTTTTAAAAGCGTAGTGGGGCAGCGTTTGTATTAATAATCAGGGTCATCTGTAAAAACCTCATGTTTGGAAACCCTGCCATCATTTTCTGCTTAGAGTAAATGGGGTTGTGACCAGTGAGTTGCTTGTATACCATATACAAAATACAATTTTAAATTTAAGTTGTAAGCATTTAATGCTGTGAGTTGATAATGAAACTACTAGACTCAGGTTGATTCATGGGGTTGAGGAAGACTTCAGTTTTGGATGACTTGTACTGCAAAGTCCTATTTTTGAAAGAAGTCTTACATTGCTGCCCAAGGCATTGTCACTGCACCTTAATCTGTAACAGCAAGGCAAACATCTGACAGAATGAACAAACTAGCCCTAAAGGTGTACTTAGTATCCCTTCTGGTCATAAGCTGTTTCTTACTTCCCATTTTAGTAAGTTAGAGTCTTAGAGTCTTGCAGCTTTACAGTACAGAAAATGACCCTTTGGCTCTCTGCCTGCGCCAGTCATCACTCTAATCCCATTTTCGAGCATTTCATCTATTATCTTCTGTGCTATGGCACTTCAAGTGATCATCTAAATAGTTTGTAATTGTTATGATAACTCCTGACTCTACCATCCCAGGCACTGAGTTCCGGATGGCTACTGTCCTGCAGGTGAAAAAAGCTTCCTAAATCCCCTCTAAAGCTCCTACTCCTTATCTTAAATATGCCACCTGGTTATTGAACCCTCTAATGGGGGAAAGATTTCTTCCTATCTATGCCCCTCATAATTTTCTACATGTCAATCAGGTCCTCCCAACAGCCTTCTCTCTCCTTGCCGTAAACAGCCCTAGCTTATCCAATGTCTCTTCATAGCTGAAACATTCCAGCCTAGGCAAAATCCTGGTGAATCTCCTCTGCAACCATTTTAGTGCAATCACGTTCATATAGTACAGCTACCAGAACTTCACACAATTCTGCTCTTACTTTCCATGCCTCCATTCATAAAGCCAAGTGTCCCATATTCCATCTGTCCTGATGCCTTCAATGATCTGTGGACACGCATCCCAAGGTCTCTCCATTCCTCTGTATATCGTAGGGTCCTACCAAAATGCTTCACATCACACTTTTCAGGATTAAATTCTAGTTTTCATTGTTCTGCTCATTTCACCAGCTTATCTATGCCACCTTGTAGTCTAAGACTTTCTTCCTCACTATTTACCATATGACCAGTTTTCATGTAATCTGCAAACTTGTTGATCAAACCTCCTGCGTTCATATCTAGATCATTATGCATAATACAAATAGCAAGTGATTCTGCATATGCCACTAGACACAGACTTCCAGTCACAAATTCAACCTTCAACCATCACCGTCTGCCTCCTGCAGCCAAGCCAATTTTGTATTTAATTTAACAAATTATCCTGGATCCCATGGGCTCTTACCTTCTTGACCAGTCTCTCATGCAAGACCTTGTCAAAAGCCTTACCGAAGTCTATGTAGGTGACATCCAATCCACTGCCCTCATCCATGTATCTAGTTACCTCCTCAAAAATCACAGTCAAACTGGTGGACAGGCTGTGAGTTACTGACAAGTGAGTTACTTATCCCACTTTCCCCAGTTACAGTGCAAGTGTCCCTCAAACCAGAATCAACTTCTTCCACATTGGTCTTTGAGTGACACATTCTCCAATCTTATTTGCCCTGTACCAATCTGCACACGGCTCAGTTTGTTAACACCATTTTATCCTGGATCACTTCCCAAGGGTGGCACTGGGCAGGAAGGTCTACCCATCTGCAATTGATGGGTAACCAATTAAAGTGTGTGACAAGCCAATTAAGACCAATTAATTGCAAAATTCCCAGTTGACCTACAGGCATTATTATTATTCTAATATATTGTTAATATAAAAGTAATCATGAATCACAGCGCTGTCTTGATGGAATTGAAGGAGAGGAAAGAGATCTGAGTGATGAATATCTTTAACCTTTTTCAAAAGGGAGGAAATTAATTTAATGGTAATAAATTCTCTTACTGTAGGGTTCGAAACATCCCCAACATCACCAGCACTAGCGGTGCTGTATCAAAAATCACATCCTATACATCTCTTATCCCCATTGTCAATTCAACTGATTATGAAGGGAGCTCACGCAGTTTATCTCATTTGATCAGGTATGCCTAATTCAACTTCATTTCAAGGTTTTTATTGAGAGTAAGAGGTACATTTTAAGAATTGCCTTTCAGTACTAATTTTGTGCTCTTCAGGGTAAAATATACTAATGTTGATGAACGGAATGATCATCATTTTGGGAACCTCATATAGTTCTAGGTCAGGCACATTTAAATGCAGTTAAAAGCTTACAACAATGTCGCAGTCTCAGAAAACATCCCATGCATGAGTGTTTCACCCACCCACTCTGGCCATTATGTGACTTCTCAAGTTTTGCCGATTGCAGGCACTTTAGTTCCATTCATACTTCATGGAAATTGATTATGTATTCTTCCAGACTTATGCCATGCGGGGGGAGCGGTGCAGCATATTTGGGCATGTCTGACATGCACGCATGCAAACATAGGCACTCATACTCTTGTTGGATTTAGTTAAATATAATCAATTAGAGAGCCTGTATAAATTCCATACTACTGGTTCTTAAAATTCATCCATTGTCTCGTGCAGCACCATGATGTACATTACGCAAGTTTGATTTCTTCCATGCAGCGAAGTTCAACTATTCCAACTACATCAGTTGCGAGAGGCAAAATGAAGTGAAAGCCAATGTCCTATCAGTCAGTTCAAAGTGATAGACTGACACCTGAAGAACGAGAGATAGTAGGAACTGCAGATGCTGGAGAATCCGAGACAACAAGGTGCAGGGCTGGATGAACACAGCAGGCCAAGCAGCATCATAGGAGCAGAGAGGCTGACGTTTCGGGCTTAGACCCTTCATCAGAAAAGGGGGAGGGGAAGGGGGTTTTGAAATAAATAGGGAGAGAGTGGGAGGCGGATAGAGGAGAGGATAGGTGGAGAG